AGGTCATGGGGAGAGGGTGAGATCAGGTCATGGGGAGAGGGTGAGATCAGGTCATGGGGAGAGGGTGAGATCAGGTCATGGGGAGAGGGTGAGATCAGGTCATGGGGAGAGGGTGAGATCAGGTCATGGGGAGACGGTGGGATCAGGTCATTAGGGGAGGATGGCTGAGACAAGATCAGGTCATGGGGAGAGGGTGAGATCAGGTCATGGGGAGAGGGTGAGATCAGGTCATGGGGAGAGGGTGAGATCAGGTCATGGGGAGAGGGTGGGATCAGGTCATAGGGAGAGGGTGGGATCAGGTCATGGGGAGAGGGTGGGATCAGGTCATGGGGAGGATGGCTGAGACAAGATCAGGTCATGAGGAGAGGGATCAGGTGGGTTCAGGTTATATTGGGTTGATGGCTGAGACACCTAGATCAGTTTAAGAGGGGATAGTGGGATCAGGCCATGAAAGGAGGGTGGGATTAGATAATGAGGGGAGGATGGCTGGAAAATCATAAAATGAGGTATAGGTGGGGGTGGGGGGCGGAGTTCGACCCACACCACGACATTAAACAGTTCAAGGTGTGCGGGACAAAAGCGCACCAGGAAATATAATTAGTTTTTTATTATCTTTTTATCAAAGGAATTCTCAACACTCGAACCCTTTTCCCCGCATGTAATTAGCTAGCCGGCGAACGCCTGGAGAATCTATACACAAGGACTGGATCCCACGCGCGTTAAAGACGTGAGTTCACCTGTATCACTCCCATTACCAGAGGGATGGGAACGGTTGAGTCGCCGTGGTGGGTAGTTAGGGGGGGGGGTCGGGTATGATAGTAGTCGGACTGCATTTCAAGACGGCAGCACTTTTCAATATTTTACTCGAAAATAAAAATAAAATAAAAATAAAAGTAAAAACCAAATTTGGCTGATCACCTCCAACACATGAACGATTACAAGCCATGTTTGCAGCGGCGTGCTAAGCAGAAAACATCCTTTAAAAACAAAAACAAAACAACAGCTGAGAACAGCATAAGGTTATTTAAGAGTCTTAAATTTTTAGACTAGTTTTTTAGGGAATGGCGGGGGTTAAATGGTGCTGCAAATTGTAGTTTTTAAAAACTAAATATACTGGTCGGGTGATAGAACCTACGACTGCTAACCCGAAAATATCGAGTCTGGATTTCGGTCGGACTCGAGTCTGTAGAAAACAGAGTCCACCCAGCTTTGATGAGGACCTGATTCTCGTTAAGGAAAGTAAATGCGGCCGTGCATAGTGCTAACCACACCATCCCTTCTTCATGCCGTAGTCAAGAAACAGATGTCCTATGTATCGTTAGATCTGAAATTGGGCTCATGTTACATAATGGACAAACGAGACCATTTGTATCCGGTATGACATTGCCTGTGGACACCACACGTTAAGTTTTAGAAGCACAAAATAACAAATGATGTTCCACCGCCACTGCTACAGTGTGTAATATTGGCACGTTCATATAACAAGACGTACGACTTAAGATAAGGCGGGATGCAGATATAAGTTACTCAGAGTATAATTATTTTTAATGCTTTATATTCTATATATATATATATATATATAATATATATATATATATATATGTATATATATATATATATATATATATATATATATATATATATATATATATATATGCAGAAAATACGCATTGGAGCATGATGTTTGAATATTACGTCAAGTAAAAAACAAACATCAGAAGATTTAATTTCGATCATGCTCTAAATATAGACCTACAAACTACTATCATACTATACTTTCTGCTTTATGTTAATCCAAATATTTCAGTTTTAAATTAAATTTAAATTAGAAAGAAAACAAAAAAAACCCTTCTCATACCTTTCTAAACAGCGCTGCTGCAAGACGAGTTGAGTGGTACTAATTATAGATCTAGGTATAGAATTAAAACTGTACGTGCTATGTGCGGTCCTGGACTGGCTGCTTATGTATTGATGCTGGCTGAGCATACAATGTTAACTTTATGAAAGATCTACTCTAGGTCTACTCAATGTTATGCTGTTTGGTGACAATCTATTAGGCCTATGGTCTAAATCTGAAATAAATAAGTAATGAAATCAATCCACATGTCAGCATAGTTTTTGTAAGCGCGATCTGCCGTTGATACATTTCCTGGAATATGATAGCTTGCAATGTAATTTTTGTGTATACAAGTAAGTAGGACTATCCATTTTATTACGGTAGCTAAAATAAACGATGTAGGCTAGGCCTAATTTAGCCCAATAGGGAGGATTCACTTAGGGTAAACAATATCAGGACGCGAAGCGATGACAGCTGCTGTAAGCACTACAGGTTTTGTGCGTGTTTCTGTATTTTTTTATAGAGAACGACAAACATTTGATTGTTATTATTAAACTTATTTTCCGGGGACAACCCCCCCTCAAACTTTTGATTTGCACCCCCCTCAAACTTCTGATTTGCACCCCCCTCAAACTTTCGATTACTTTTTCCAACCCATTTTGGCGCCCCCTAAGGTCGGCGCCCAGGGACATATGCCCCCCCCCCGTTGCCCCCCCCCCCCCCATCGCTACGCCTCTGCCCAGCCTACCATACTTCATACTTGCTAACCAAATACTTAGGGGGTCGGTAATTTTGTGATTCCTGTCGCTTCCCCGATCAGCCCTTCCACAAACTCCTAAATACCACTGGGTACTATGGGACGACGTGGCTTAAGAGGTTCGAATCCGGGTTCAAGTCAGTATAACGTCCCTGAGTCCACCCAGCTCTGATGGGTACCGCACTCATGTTATACCTAGCTCATCTTTTATCTAACTCAGGGAAAGTAAAGGCGGATGGACAAATGGGCAAAGTGCTGACCACACCTTCGCTTCATACGCCGAGGTCATGAAAACGAACTCTACTTCATCTGGCCAATAGATGGCTAGGTGTAAAGAGGATTCTTTACTTCTTTCTGTGGAGGTGGGTGTCATAACCGTGCCCTGTTAATTAAACGAATTTGTTTCTACTCCCTGGCGCCTTTTACTTTTTGCCGCTTCTGCACAGATCGTTTTACAGAGCCCCCCCCCCACCCACTCATCATGAACTACTGAACTATACTTTGGTAGAACTAGATGTCTCCAATCTACTTTATAAACAAAGTGTCACTGAGAGTGTTGATCATAGTGTTATTGATATATGTCACTATCAATTTGCAGTAAAGAAATTATTTTGAAATTAGAAACTCAAATTTATAATAAGTTTAAAAAAAATAAAAAAATTAGTAATAACCGCGATATAATTCATCCAAATTTTACAATCATGGTCAAACAATTGTCAAAGGGAGAGTATCGTGTTATTATGAAACAAACAAAAACAATATCTTTGTAAAGTGGTTACTTCCCCTAGATATTTGAGCACTTAAAAAATGAATAATCAAGACCATGTTAAAGACATTGATATTTCTGTTTTATGAAAAGAGAAATTAAAAAATTACTTCATTTCATTTCTAAATACAAAATTTGTGACTTTAATCTCATTTTTATTTTTAAAATCTAAAATGACAACAAAGGTTAACATTATTTTAGCCACAGAGCTCCATCATTTTTGATCACCAGATGCATTCAATGAAATGTCACACATACGCTACTTCTTTCCTAAAAAATTGCCAGAATATAAATCCCCGACAAATTTTACTCTATGAAGCAAAAACATGAACAAAGTAAACTTTAAATAAATGAAAGAAATGCTGATTTGCATTACCAAATTTTGAGGGTTTTAAAATTGTACATGCATGGTAGTCATTCGGGAAATCGTGTAATGCAGGCCGCTGACCATTTAAGTCCTAGTTTTTTTTACGAATACTGTTGAAAGGGAGAGTACCAAATATATTTAAATACACGCAGTTGTACTAAACTTGTCTCGCCTATTCTCACTGTCTTGTTCTAAATTGTGCCTAGTACCTTTTTCTTTTCTAAGTGCATGAAATGTAGACACATAGATATCAATAATCTCGGTATTTCAAAAAAAAAAATATCCTTTATTAAAAGGTAATCTATAGAAGGCAACATGTAATTTTGGAATAGTGCTTCTTAGTTTTCTTTGCCAATTCTATAAAATTTCAAGAGCTTCAACTCTTATTGTACCATCTTTAGACACTTTTTAAAGTAACATAAAGTAATGTTTTTAAATGGGAAATATTTCAGTTAATTCAAACTGTTGCACTAACATCTACTGTAATGTTGTTGTTCATCAAAACCGTTGCATCAACAACGAATGTAATGTTGTAGTTCATTAAAACTGTTGCACTAACATCAACTCTAATGTTTTAGTGACATCGATTATCACATAAGATAACACACATTGTAAAAAGTTATGGTATCATAACAATGTAGTCCAGAAATGAAGGCTCAAAATAACCAACGTTTTTTATCACACCTTACGTAACTTTTGTTTTTGGCCAAACTTGATTGTCTCAACCGAGCATCAGTTTGTTACTAGATCACAAGGCCTCAAAAGGTAAACATTGTTTAATTCTGGGCTAAGACTTAATAAATCGGTTACCCTATGTTTTCTGTGTTGCATTTTTTAAATATCACCTGTAATATCTAATTGTGTTAAGCATAAAAAAACTAAGCAACTGTCAGAGGCGGAACTCTGTTGGGTATTTGACTCACGTTAGGAGAAGTAAAGGCGGATGAGCATAGAACTGACCATACCATCCATTCATTTGGCGTGTTCAAGAAATAGATGAACTCTACTTCATCTGCTATGTGGATTATCGGGTCCGAAAGGAGCCTAGTATAACTGTGAGATCGGAGTTAGAGTAATTAGTGTCTCTATGTATTTCAAGCCTATTTTAAACTGCTGACACTCTGCTTTCGAATAGCTTTGATGTTGATTTGTAATGTAAATATGTAAGGCTTGACTGCACTCAGACTGTATATGTGAGGTAGCAGTTTATCAAGTATCAGTACTATCAGTGTATGGTCAAGCTGTAGAATTAAAGCCTATACGATCTATCTAGATGCCTTCCAGAATTCAGATCAAGCTTGTTACAGAGCATATGAAATATTTGGAAGAACAGATACAAGTGATGGATCCTGTCATTGGCCTCATGAAGCAGGTGAGCGAGAAATGATTTTGAAAATTTAATCATAGTTGTAACACCAATATTGTATTCACAAATTATATCTACAATTGTAGAGCTTTCGGTTGCTTGCCCCGAAGCTCTTGAGATCGAATATTGGTTCGGACTACAGGACGTCCTTAATGTCGCCCAGCTCTGATAGGTACATGACTCATGTTGGGGAAAGTAAAAGCGACTGGGCTGACCACACTATTCTCTCATACTCCGAGGTCAAGCCGTCGTTTCGTATGCCGAGGTCAAGAAATACGCCAACTCTACTTCATCTGCCCCCTTGATGTTTCCATCTGTACAGCTTTCCTCTATCTTAACTAAAACCCTAGTATGCCCAAACTAAGAGACTGCTACTACTCATGTAAACACACTAAATGTTTCTATTTTATCAGGCCGTTGAAAAAAGTAGGACGTGGATAGAAGATAAACATGATGACCAACACTTCACGTATATCGAGCTGTATCAGGAGCTGGAATCAGCGACCAGCGCCTTGTTGAAAGCATCGTCAGAAATTATCAGTTAAGGTCTTACTTATGTAATATATATATATATATATATATATATATATATATATATATATATATATATATATATATATATATATATATATATATATATATATATATATATATATATATATATATATATATAATTCTAATGTTTTTGAAAACGTTGAATGAAATTTTTTTTTAATATTCACAATTTTGAAACAAATAGTGATGAAATTGAAATTTTCCAGAACGAGATGGAATTTATATAGTAAACATACACATTTACTAGTGTCCGCACCCCCCCCCCCCCCTTCCGGAGAAAAAAGTGTGGAAGAAACACTGGCTTTAATTTGACGTCATTCTAAGTCCACTAACACCACCCACCTTCACACATCTAAACTGTGCAAGTGTATCAAACGATTATCCGTTGTACACAGTCTAAGATAAATATTCTATAATAAAATGTATTCTTTAGTCCATAAATCTTACACAAACAGTCGAATTCGACTATGACTAGAAATATTACTATGTATAAAATTGAACTTTTAAAATATTGTTTGTTGATTTAAACCAGACGAAAATCCGGTTATTGAGGGAACGCCATCTTTAGTCCAGCCTACACCACAAACTACAGCAACAGAAAAACATGTCTGCAGTGAATCAACCCATCAAATCACTAGTCAAGTTCAACATTCAGATGGTAAAGAATGATTTTGTTTTTACTGACATTAATGTTAAGTAAATATACAAGAACGGACATCACGGTCAATGAGAAGGTTGGGTGGGGTTTACCTGTTTCCGTGATGACGGCATATGGAGGGATTGTATGCCCAGCCGCAGTTACTTTCCCTTAACGTGAGATGTAAGTTTGATTAGGCGAATTGGTGCGAATGTTCGTAGGGGGGGGGGGGGGTATGAAATTGTGAAGCGTTACGCAAGAAAGTGACGTTTTAGTGTGGGATCGTTGTTGCCGGGGATGAAGCTTAAAGTAGTCTTGTTCCTGTTGTGGTAGGGTGAGGTCGTAATGTAGTCCAGTCTTAGTATAGTTCGTTCAAGTCGTCCTATGTATTTTTTTATAGTGTAATAGATAGAATAAACCGGGAGTGATCTCCCCTAAACTTTCTCGAACATTCTAATATAACACTACGTGGGATGTCAACTCGGAATATAGACATGATTTTTGTTTACTTAAACTTTTAAAAATAGAATAAAATCTAGTAGAAAAAAAAATTGCGCACCAAGCGAGCACCAAAACCGAATGTGCGTAATAGTGCGCAATATTATTAGTACTTTATAAATTTACATGCGTTTTTTGAGAAATCGGAAATAGCGTAAATTAGTACTTCCGGTCAACGGAAATTACTCAAAATTTGATAGAAGGTAGAGAATTAGATCTTTTACTTACATGTGAAATTTCATTTATCTATCTGAATTAGTACTCAAGTTATAGGCTTTTGAAAAATTCAAAGTAGAAAAAGTACCACTTCCGGTTATCGGAAATCGCTCAAAAGTTGATACGGATCTACGATTTTGATATAATACTTATATATGAAATTTCATCAACCTAGCTGTAACGGTACTCAAGTAATCGTGTTTACACACAGACAGACACACAGACACACAGACACACAGACACACAGACACACAGACACACACACACAGACATACGGACAAGATTGCAAAATTATGTTTTTCCGTATCAGTGAGGTGTAAAACGTCGAGATTTGTAAAAATCTCGATTTTTTTTTTTGCACGATTACAATACTTTCTCTATACTACGTATATACGAGAAAGTAAAAATTAAATAATGTCATCCTGTCGAATCATTTGTATACCTTGATGTCGTCGTGCTTTGGGATGAACTACTGAATGGCTAGAAAGAATATAATGGTAGTGTAGACCCGCTCACTGCATAGCTGCGGGACACAAATGCCCTAGCTATAACAATTAGTAAGACACCCATAGGTGGATTTAGGGACGTCCTACGGCCTTGAGCCTAAGATCGGAACTCCAGACTTACGCGACAGCAGTCTTGTGTCACCCCCCCCCCCCCCCCCCCCAAATAAAATTCGATAATAATTACCTTTTTAAAAAAATCAAAATTCATAACTGAGATATTAATTTTATATTACATTTACATTTTCTTAGTTGTGTGTTTAAATTTATTTTTGATTACATTATAGAAATAGTGAGACGGCTGGAACAGTTAGAGGTAAAACTAACTTCAATGGAAACCATGACACAAAGAACACAAGACGACACGTCAGAAGTAAAACAATGGAGAGACAACTTTGTTACCGAACACAATGAACTGGTGTTAAGTAATGAAACATTATCTCAGAAATACATACAGACTTTTATAAACCTCAGAAAACAAATCATCGAACAAGACGACAAATTGAAGGAGATGGATAATGAAATTGAAAGTTTAAAAGACAAAGATTCCATGTCAGGAAATGGGTTAAAGAAAGTTTCTCTGGATGTTAGAGATCACGAAAACTCCATACAGAGCATTAACAAAGAGCTGGACACTCACACGTATGAAATAGTTACACTATCTCAAACAGTTCAAGGGCTCTCAGATTTGATGCCAACGTTGCAAACAGAAGTTAAAAATAGTATGATTGATACATGTATAAAATTGGATAGAGCATTGTTTAAGGTGATTAGTTAACTGAATATTATCAAAACATAATGTTGTTGAATTCAGCCATAAATGTAGCCCGTTTCTTCCAGGCATCTCTTCGGGGAAGGCCTCCCCTCCCTGATGAAAGTCTACTGCCCCCCCCCCCTTCGTGCGAAATGGAGTTTATATATAAAATATATATCTGTGTCGGCCACCCCCTCCCCCCGAAAATACTAGCCCCCACCCCCCCGCCGCGAAAATATCAAGTGCCCCGCCCTGAAAATATCAAGTGCCCCCCCCTTCCCCGGAGAAAAAAATCTGGAAGAAACACGGAATGTAGCTGGTTTAGTATACTCTATTACATTATAAATAATTTAAAATCTGTAAAAGTATAGGCATAGGTTCACTCATGTTTACCATTATATACAACTAGGCATGCTGCCCAGCTTCGCTTAGGCTTTCGAAAACATTGAGAATTTGAATGCTTAATTAATTCGCCCGAGGGTCGGTCTACGACCTCAAGAGTTATGAAGAGGTTCCTCCGTGGACATTTTTTTTCGATTTATAGCTCATATAAGGTACCGGTCAGTCGAGGTCAGTTTTGACCCCCTCATCGTAGACTTTTCGGCCAACCGGCCCCCGTGTTCTGTCGCCCCAAGGCAAGATCCTGCCAAATTTGAAGCGCCTGCGGCGCCGGGAAGTGCCCTATCGGACACCCGACAATCTAGATCTAGATCTAGATTCCTAATAGAATTTTTTTTAAAGTTTAGCCCTAGCATAATAAAAAAATATACATTAACCAAGTTGACTTGGTGTGTCTCGAACCCGCACCACCTGCGTGGTTTTTAGTACACTAACATCTCCGCTATTTAGGCACCTTATAAAATACGGAGAATGAAACACGTATTTTAAAATCTTAACTTACGCGACTATGCCTATTCTTTCAAATTAATTTTTTTTATCCCAAATTAGCCAGTTCCAAACAAAGATTTTGTATAAAATAAATAAGTCTTGAAATAGTTTAGTCCTAATATAGAAATTTATTTTTGGAATAGATTTTAGAGAAGTTAGAGTCTAAATCTAGATCTTAGCGTCTACGTCTAGATCTAGTTATTGCGTAGATTTAGATTTAGTCTAGATCTAGAATCTCTAGATCTAGAATCCAAATAAATAAAATAAATTTTATGAGTTTAGGCCGGAAAAAATTGTATTGTATACATTTCATAGTGTACGTAGATCTAAATCAAATTTGAATTAAATAGTTCATTTATTTTTATTGTAAACACGGCAGATGACGACATTGTCATTAGTTAATGTATAAGCAATAGTGACGTCACAGTTTTATGCGTTCTTTTTCACATGTATTATTACTTTTCCGGTTGCATAAATAATACTGTTTCTCTACATTCGAATACGCCTTTATTTTTTATTTTTCTTCTTTAAATAAAATTGTAGTTATACATTTAAAACATCTAACATATTATTTTCAACAAAAGTCCGTATAAAGGTATCCATATATCGCTGCCGATTCTGACGTGATGTCCGGCGAAAATATTTTGCGGACAGACAGAGAGAGAAAGAGAGAGAGAGAGAGAGAGAGATGTGCGAACGTGGGGTTTTATATATTAGGATTGAGACATATGACACTTTAAATTTACTATTCTGAACATTTTTCTAGCACAATGTGATGTGTAAACTTATGCAACAAAGACTGCTGCCTGTGGACAAACTGATTCAAATATTTAATCAGAATCTGGAAACAAAGGAGAAAAATTTAAAGAAGGTATATTAATCTTTGGATTGCGTAACTCAAGCAATTGAAATAAAATCTTTGTATAATAGTGGAAACATTTTATATTTAATTCTTGCCTTAACACTTGCTGTATGTAAACTGAGCACTCTGCAACGAATTTTAAACTTTTAAATATTCACATTTACTTACCTTTTTACTTTCTCGTATATACGTAGTATAGAGAAAGTATTCTAATCGTGCAAAAAAAAAAAAAAATCGAGATTTTTACAAATCTCGACGTTTTACACCTCACTGATACGGAAAAACATAATTTTGCAATCTTGTCCGTATGTCTGTGTGTGTGTCTGTGTGTGTGTCTGTCCGTGTGTAAACACGATAACTTGAGTACCGTTACAGCTAGGTTGATGAAATTTCATATATAAGTATTTTATCAAAATCGTAGATCCGTATCAACTTTTGAGCGATTTCCGATAACCGGAAGTGGTACTTTTCCTACTTTGAATTTTTCAAAAGCCTATAACTTGAGTACTATTTCAGATAGATAAATGAAATTTCACATGTAAGTAAAAGATCTAATTCTCTACCTTCTGTTAAATTTTGAGTAATTTCCGTTGACTGGAAGTAGTAATTTACGCTACTTCCGATTTCTCAAAAAACTAATGTAAATTTTTAAAGTACTAATAATATTGCGCACTATTATACGCGTTTTTATTCGGCGTTTGCTTGGTGCGCAATGTTTTTTTTTATGAGATTCTATTCTATTTTTAAAAGTTTAAGTATTTAAAATGGATTAAAAATCATAACTATATCCCCAGTTACCATCCCCTGTTGTTTTATATAAGAATATTCGAGAAAGTTTAGGGGAGATCACTACCGGTTTATTTTATTCTGATTTAGCTTGGAGATATAGAAAGTGATTTTAGAGAATTGTCAAAATTTTCTGAAGCAATCGGTAAGTTTTATTTTTCCATTGGTGTCCCTGGGTGGTAACATTAACCTGTGCACACTATATAGTAACAGATGTATATCTGTAGTTGTTTGCTGATACAGTTGGATGTAGCCAGTGGCGTCGCTAGGTCGGGTGTCACCCGGTGTGGCACTTCGTGGTGTCACCCTCTCCCCCAAGAAACAAAGTATATATATATATATATATATATATATATATATAATATATATATATATATATATATATATATATATATATATATATATATATGTGTGTGTGTGTGTGTGTATGTGTGTGTGTATGTGTGTGTCTACATAGGCCTCTAATTTAAATGTATGCCGCATACGCGTACATGTAGTGTATAAGCTTTAATCACTGCAGACTTAATAATAACGATGTGTAAATATAGTCTGTTAATAATTCAGTTGGATGTAGCAATGTTTCCTCTATATTATAGTTAGACCGTTTACGTCATGGTGTCACCCCCACCCTATTGTAATACTTGTCGCTTCGTACTTAAAAGACTATTTAACTTTAATTTATCAATAATAGAACTGGCAAAAATTTTTTTTTCTTCTGTACATTTTGTAATTCTTTGCCTTGGTGTCACCTCCCTAAATGGTGTCACCAGGTGCTTACCGCAGTTTACTTCATTGTGTCTCCATTTCCCCCTTCCCGGGACAGTCATTTTGTACAAAAAGAATATGCAATTCTAATTAATCATTGATTGAAGGGGGGAAAAAGTATTTTTCTTCTTTGCGCTAATTTGCCAAGGTGTCATCCCCCTAAATGGTGTCCCCAGCATTTTCCGGTAGTGTGTGGAAGCAGTTTGTTACGTATGAATGGGTTGGCTGATCAATGAGAAGGGAAGGTGTGTGGGGCAATGGTCAGAATTTAGACTGCTAGTGTTGTTGTGTTGAATTTGTAATTTCTGTTAGAAATTTGTACGGGGTGGTTTTTTTTCTAATCCTGTTAAAAAAGGTATTGAGCATGTTATGTTCTGTTGAGTATGTGTGTATGTCTGTGTGTGTGCGTGAGTGTGAATGTGAATGTGGTAAGGGGGTGTTTTTGTGGGTGGGGGAAGTAAGAGTCTGACTTTTTGTGACGATGGGGTAGGAGAAGAGAGTAAAAGATTGGCGAGATATCTTGGCCTAATTTATGGACGACTTCCAACTCAAGATTAAAGAAGTGTCGTCAACTATTTTGTTTATTATGAATTTTTAGATAAAAAATATAATCAATAAACATTATTCTTTTTGACAGCAAAAAGTATAATTTACATATAAACAATAAACATTTTTCTTTTTTAACAGCAAAAGTATATTTTAAATATAATCAATGAACACTTTTTTTTTTCAACAGAAAGAAGTATAAACAATAAATATTTTTTTCTCTTTTCAACGGCAATAGTATATTTTACACATAATCAATAAAAAAACATTCTTTTCCACAGCAAGGGGTATATTTTACAGATACGCCTGCCACATCCAGCTTGATCGAACACCTGTCAGCGCTAGAACAATTCTTCTGCGAGTCAGTGCCATTCGCGAATACAACGGCCAATACTTCAATAGAACAACAGGGAAATTCGTATCGCCTAATGATACTCTATACCTGGTTGGGGTGACCTTGCACGAATATGGGGACAAACGGGTCGAGGTCGGGGTGTATGCCGGGGACAGGTGGTGTAAGGTGGTCGAGGTGAAGTCGTCCCACACCAGCGTGACTGGGTCTGTGGTTGTTGACATGAAGCGCGACCAAGAACTGTATCTCAGGGTGGTATTCGCTGAACCAGGCGCCGAGCTATCCTGCTACAGTAGTTTTACTATCGTTAGTTTATAAAAGTACAGCGCTATACTTGTGATGTATAAATGCTCACTAACTATATATATATAACTATATAACTATATATATATATAACTATATATATATAACTATATATATATATATATATATATATATATATATATATATATATATATATATATATATATATATATATATATATATAAAACTATATATATATATATATAGTTATATAAACCACCATGTTTATCAATGTATGAAGACATTTTAACTTATTATCGGAGTCAATGGCCTTAATTGTGTTGGAGGCGTGGTGGGGGCGGCAAAGCTCATGGTTGTTAAAAATTCGAAAAAGTCTAGATTACAAAACCTCTGGAAGATAAGGCTCCTTTTGCTCCAACACTAAAAATTAAGAACGAAGAAGAAGAACAGCCTATAAGGCGTATAAGAAGTTGGCACGTTATCTTTAATTGTGTTGGAGGGAATCCCTTGACCCTCCCAACATTAAAAAAAATAGGAGCGAAGAAGAAGAAATTTTTTTTAACTCATTAAAAAACTTATATAAGAGATTTCTACCTCAAATTACCTGCACAATGTCCAACGTTTATTACTCAAGGACTAGACATATTGTAGACACAATCCATTATTGTTTTCTAAAAACTTCACTTTCCATAAAATACAGTTTAACCTTTTAAAATAATGAAATACGTCGGTAGAGTTAAACACATTGACGTGCTATGTGTATCCAGGTTTTATAACAGCATACAGTTGCCACTTGTAATTATAATTTTCACAGTAAACATTTTGAGAAACAATTTTTGGCATAATAGGTTCGGATGTGTTATCTTTTGATGTGTTTCTCTTTAACGTGTTTTTTTTTTATTTGATTTAATTTTTAAATTTTTTAAATACATTTTGTAATACATTTAATACATTAAATAAGATATATCTTGGATTTAATGACTGTTTTCCTGACAGTTAAATCTATTTAATATAATGTCGTGTATTCAAACATATTTGTCTTTAAAAAAGTTTTAACTGAAGTAGGCCCTATACATTTATATTATCTACATTCTAATGCAATATATTTATCTGTTATTAATTTTTTTTTTAGATTGAGGTATATTTAATTCTTACATTATTTCCCCCCGAGATAGGGGTCGTCACACTCGTAGGGGGTGGGGTTCATAATTTTGTGACGAATGCGGAGGGATGGGTTCCCCCCCCCCCCCCCATATAGTGTGACGTCACACCTTTGCATTTTTAAAAGGTAATGTAAGAAACTGAATTTCAACCTTTTCTCCGCGTTTTTGAAAACTAATTTAAGTAAATTGTAAGAGAATATGTAGTATTAGTATAACCTACATCGACCTCAGTCTATGCTTCGGAAAGAAATCGATGTTTGAAGAAATTAAACTATAATTTGAAAAGGGGTTGTAGACTTGGGTTTGACGTCATTGCAGAGGCGTAGCGACCCTTCCCGGCGCCCGGGGACAAACTTTCAATTTGGCGCCCCCCTCGGGAGCAAATTTTCAATTTGCACCCCCCCCCCCCCAACACCTCAAACTTTCGATTTGCACCCCCCTCTCAACCAATTTATATTGCAAAAATGCAGCTAAAATGACATTTTAATTTGTTTTTACAACTCATTTTGGCGCCCCCTAAGGTCGGCGCCCGGGGACATATGTACCCCCCTGCCCCCCCCCCCCCTCACCATCGCTACGCCTCTGCGTCATTGTAGGTGGGATGAGGCCTGGCTTTTTTGTGACAATGTATGACGGAAAGGATGGGGGAGGGTAAAATTCGTCTTAAAAGCGTGACGTCATAAATTGATGATCTCCTTATGTCTTTAGTACATTTTGTAAAGAGATTGATTGAACTTTATTTATTTACGTTTTGAGATACATATGTCTTTGATATGAATTTTTCTGACATTTACACAATTTTGATGGAGTACACATGTCGGTGAAACATTATCCTGAACGTAATTGTGTAAAATGCATATTGTGTACAATGTATATTGTGTACAATGTATATATTGTAAAATGTATATTATGTTGTAAATATATTTCTTTGTGCTAATTGTTTCTGAGATAATTCAATCTAATATATCCCTACTTATATTGAGATATGTTTTTACAAAGATATAACTAAATAGGTTAATATAATTTTAGACAAATTGTATTATCTTTGGTGATAGTTAATTCTGTCTAAACTGACGTCATTTATTCCATAATTTATCTTGCATACAAATAAAATATTACTACAAAAATTTCGAAACTGTAGAACATCTAAATTTTAATTTATTTATCAAGTTATTAATTTTTTAAATAATTAGCTTTAACTATAATTTAGCCTAAATTGACCCCAGCGGCTTTACAATATGTTTGGACTATTAAAATAATTATAAGACAACTAAGGAAATTCAACTGGCCTTTAATTAAACAGGTTTCACAGAAACAGTACATTTCCAGAAATAGAGCATTATATATATATATATATATATATATATATATATATATATATATATATATATATATATATATATAGGCATTTACATATACACATGTAAAGGAACTACTATTCACAAGTCTCGGTTCAATCAATAAAAAATGTGTAGCATAGATTTCAGATTGGACGAGTACATGAGGAAATAAAAATATATAAATATTTGCTTGGATTAATTTTATCTTTCATGGAGCCGGGAGGGGAGAGGGTACAAAGCTTACCGAATATAAAAAACACAAGAACAGTATATTTCAGAACATCTTTTATTACGGGGACAGCAAATAGACCACGGACTTGCTAACCCAGAAGTCACGAGTTCGAGTCCGGACCCGGCCGACCCACCTTATGTCTAAAGTAGGTGGCGAGATGCATTGAAGGAATCAGGGGGTTTCTTTCTCTAATGGCAGCACTTGAAACAATTAAAGGAGGAGGGCCGACACTAGTAAAGGTAGGTATATATATATATATATATATATATATATATATATATATATATATATATATATATATATATATATATATATATATATATATATACTTGGTGGTTCTCCCTCGAAGAGATGAAAGAAAGAATCTCTGGAGGGAATCCTTGCAGAAACCATCGTTTTTAGTAAGTGAAATGTTCGCTTCTTAACGAACATCCTGTTTAGCAGAAATCGCCGTAATTAAATGACAATATTTTAGGGTCTTTTCTGAAGTAAAATGTTCTGAAACATTAAGCTAGCACTAACATAACACATCTTTATCAAGACATTCAAATATGTATGTAAAAATACAAGAATAATTCAATTAAAATTATGAAATCTGTCTACGTAAGCCCATTGCCTTTATATTATTTTCAAATGTAGTCAGAAAAAAAGGATAAAAAACATATTTGTTATTCAAAGGTTAATGATTTTTAAAAAATTACAAGACTCCCGTGTATTTAAAGCAAGTTAGATGATAATTAACTTTTCCCACCAAAAAGTAACGATTTTAAAAACGGGCCTATTTGAACCTTGCCAGTAGCTGTAACCATGAAGGCTCCCTGTTTGAGATCGAAGCTTGGCGAGACGCTCCAGGAAATGCCAGACATCGGACTGCCTGCAAGGCTGAACACAGCACCAGGCATGCCGGTCATTGTGTCGGCACACGTGTTGACCAGAGCAGTGGTCACTGATGGCAACGACGGCAGCTGTGTCTGGCGTCTCTCTGTACAGGTACATTTGTTAGTGGTAGGTTAAAGTTTAGATTTTATAACAATTGTTTTATGTCGGGGGCTGAATGGGGTGGGGCTGCTATTTGAAAATAATGAGTCGTGTAATTCACAAATAACTCTCTCTCTATTAATATATATATATATATATATATATATATATATATATATATATATATATATATATATATATATATATATATATATATATATATATATGTAACGAGCGAACAGTTAACTGCCGACGACGCCAATTGTAACGAGCTAACAGTTACCCTGCTCGCAACGCCACATGTTACGAGACTATTTGCCTGTAGTGCCAAATGTAACGAGTTTAACCACTCATGCTACACAACATCGACTACAGTAGAAAGACTCGAAGATGCAGGTTCGCTATTGATCCTTTTATTACATGAATCAAGAAATGCTTCAATATAACACAATGAATCAACAGGAATGCTTCACAATAATAGTCTGAATCAACTGACCCCTAACAGTCCTCACTAGGCTTCATATAACTGAATCCACATGTCTATTGTCCTTCTTAACACAATATAACCAACTTGATATGTCACACAGACTGACTGATCTAAAGCGAGCGATGAAGAGAGCGAGCGATCGAAAAGGGAAGAGCTCCGCCGTCCCCTCCTATTTATCCCTTGTATTCGTACTCGTCCTTGTACTTGTATTCATCGATATTTGTAATCGATGTCTCCGACTACTAGTTGCGCAGTTCTAACGTACAGCCCGATTAAAACATCTGCATCCTATCAATCAAAGTTGACAGGCCGTCTGAATCCCCTCGTACCGTTTCCCAAAATAGCACGCGTTGGCTTTGAGATTGTTATCAGTCCGATCCAATAAGCCACCTGCTATCGGTTGCATCAGACTGTAATACTGCGTCGCGGCTTATCGTTCGTTATCAGTTGTAACAGATTTGTAACTAGTAGCTAGGCCTACCCTAGTTACATCCACCCCTGCCTTTTTTTGTGTGTTTTCAACCACAAACAACGCCTGGCAGGTGCACTCCTCCAAAGTCAATCGCACAATCGTAAAAAAAACTTTATTGTTCCACTCACTATCCACGACGTCCCATTCGTATACGATTGACCGTTATACCTATTTCACATATCAACTGTGTCTACATCATCTTCCTGAGACACAAAACAGTTCTAGAATTCACATCCACCCTTTCCATTTGGTGCCTTCACCAGTTCACTTTTATAGCTTTTTGAACAGTCTGTTCTCATACCAGCGCGACCATGAAAGAATTGATGGTTGCTGACAAAAAATTTCGTCTTCCTTCTGGTCCTCAAACGTCTCCGCGGACCACTTATCTGATGGTCTACTGTCTCTCTGCTTCTGGAAGGAACGGGATCCTCTTTGTTGCCGTTATCCTCCACTTGTGTATCGCCGTTGTTCTGTTGATGGTGATATGGTTCCGGGATGGGTATGTGAATTTCCGTTGTAACTTCCGGTTCCCTAATTGTCTTAGGTTTCTCTGTGTGTAACTGCTCTTCTTGCCTATTCCAATATTTCTTCAATTGAGCAATGTTCGCCCACCGATCCGGTTTGGCGTGATCGATGGGTCTTATCTTAAAAGGGGCCACCTGCTACTTTAGGCATCTCCACGACTTGCCATATCTCCTGTCCCCAGAGATCGTGGATTTTGTTTCTGCCTAACGGGTGGCTACGCAGTAATACCCTGTCGTTCAGTTTGAGTGGCGGGTCCTTTGTCTGTACCGGCGGTTCCCTTCGCCGAGATTCATGTTCTAGTCTTTCCTGTACTACCCTGTACATTTCTCTAATTCTTCTCATATGTTCATTCACATATTCCAGTGCGGTGTATGAGCCAGTCATACTCTCCCTTTTTCCTAGGAACAAATCAAGAGGGAGTCGAGCCTCCCGTCCGAACAGCAACATGTGCGGCGAAAAGCCGGTTGTGGCATGGGGGGTGCAGTTGTATAGATATACCAACTCTGGGAGAAAATCCGGCCAACGTTTTTTCTGTTCAGGTTCTAGAGTACGCAGCAAATCATGCATGCTGCGGTTGAACCGCTCACACTGTCCGTTTTCTTTCGGATTAAATGTGGTTGTTCTAGATTTGTTGATCCCGTAGTGGCTGCACAGTTGGTTGATTACTTCTGACTCGAAGGCCCTTCCTTGGTCAGAGTGTAATTGTCTTGGTATGCCATATTTGATGAACCAATGTTCTTATAATACCTTTGCCACTGTTTTGGCAGTCTGATCTCGTGTGGGCACCGCCACAGTCCATTTGGTGAATACATCAGTCATTACCAACACATGTTCCGTCCCATCCGATGATTGCTCCAACGACGTAAAGTCCATAGCCACAATCTCTAGTGGTTTTGTCGCTAGTAGGTGTCCTGCTGGCTGTCTCATTTTGACAACTGGCATTTTCGCATGCTGACACCTCACACAAGCCTCACAATGGTGTTTGACCTCCATTTCCATATTGGGCCAGTAACACCTCCGTCGTAATATTTTGTGCGTCCTGTCCTGACCCTGGTGTCCTGCCCTGTCATGTGCCAACCTTAGCACTTCTTCTCGTAATTGTCCAGGCACCACCACCTGGTGTATTGTCCCATCAATTTGGTCATGAATTCTCCGCATGAGAACACCATCCTCTATACTGAGACGGTCCCACTGACTCAGTATTTTCTTTGTTTCTCGACCAAATTGTTCTCTTTCCCTTCTTCCTGGGAATTTTTGTTCCTGGACGTATTTCAATAGCGGTTGTAAGCCACTATCCGTTCTCTGGGCATCTCTTATCTTTTGGTGATTAAGGCCGTTAAAATCACTACTGTCCATAAGTCCGGGCTCTGTGGATATGTGCTCCACCCCGGTCTGCCCGTTTTGCATCACTTGTACCCCATGAGGGATATCTGTTGACGCTCTGACCTCACATATTCCTGTCAGTGTTTCTTCCTCATCGCCCGGTCTCTCGTAAGGATTCCTTGATAAAGCGTCCGCATTGCCATTGGACCGCCCCGGGCGATATTTTATCTCCAGGTCAAAGAGTGCCAATTCTGCTGCCCATCGCTGTTCGATGGATCCCAACTTTGCTGTCTTTAGGTGACTCAAGGGGTTATTGTCAGTGTATACCACACATTTAGCACCTAATAGATAGTCCCTGAATTTCTCAGTCACAGCCCATTTTAATGTCAAAAGTTCTAGTTTCATGGCGCTGTAATTTGTCATGTTCCTCTCTGATCCCTTCAGAGCTCGACTGGCATACGCAATAACCCTGAAACCTTGCTTTTGTTGTTGTGATAGCACAGCTCCCAGACCTTTAGAGCTGGCGTCAATTTCTAGCCGAAATGGTTTGTCAAAGTCTGCGTATCCTAATATCGGCGCCTCTGTCAAAGCCTTTTTCAGTAGCTTAAACGAGTTCAGGCATTTCTCAGTCCATAATTCACCTATCAGTTGTGTTTTGCCTTTCTTTTTCTCCTTACTGTGTTTCTTTGTCATTTTGTTTACCAAGTCATGCAATGGTGCGGCAATTTTTGCAAAACCAGGCACAAATTTTCTATAATAGGAAGCAAAACCCAAGAATGACCTGACCTCTACCGTAGTTGTTGGTTGTTTCCATTCTTTAACAGCTGCAATTTTATCTGGGTCAGTGGCGATGCCATCCGACGAAATCACGTAACCCAAAAAATGTACCGATTTCAAACCGAAGCAGCATTTGTCTGGGTTCAGCTTTACTCCTATCTCCCTAAGACGGAGAAACACTTGTTCTAATCTTTTTAGATGGTCCTCCCAAGTTTTTGAGTAAACTAGAATATCATCCAAGTACACCAACATTATTTGAAATAGAAAGTCACTCATAGCACTCTGCATTACTCGCTGGAATGTAGCAGGTGCATTAGTTAGACCAAACGGCATACGGGTCCACTCGTACAGTCCCAGTGGAGAAATAAATGCAGTTTTATGTTGATCGTTGGGGTGCATGGCCACTTGGTGGTAGCCGCTAGCCAAATCCAAGGTAGAAAAAAATCTTGCTCCCCCCAACGCATCAAGACATTCATCAATACGAGGCAAGGGGAATGCATCCCTTCTTGTGATATTGTTCAATTTCCGGTAATCACAACACAGTCTTATCTCCCCTGACTTCTTTTTTACCACTACTATCGGTGCCGCATACGGGCTAGTGCTGGTTGTAATAATTCCCTTTTTTAGTAGATCGTTCAGGTGTGCCTTCACCGCAGAGTAGTGACTCGGTGGTAATCTTCGATAAGGTTGCGCCACCGGCTTGTCTTGTAGTAAGGGTATCTGGTGTTTTATTACTTCCGTGTAACCCAAATCACCCTCGTACGAGGCAAATATATCCCTGTACTTATTCAACAATTCATTTAGTTTTGGGTCCTCAGTTTCCGGGAATGTATATGATCGGCCATCCTCTTTCTTCACCTCGGCCGTCACATTGACCGACCTAATTGTTACTTCATTACTGCTGGTATTGCTCAGTTCAATGCACTGTGCCGACCTTAGTACCTCGACGTTCTGTGGTACTCCTACCAGAGTATTAGGCGGTATAAAAATTTCCTCATCCAAAACATTTGCCACTAATCCTTGAACTAGTCCATTTTCCGCTGATGTGTATGTCCGCAGTAACACGACGCCTGCCCTCAGTGCGGCGCCACATGGTTCTATCATCACATCACCATTCACACTTCTATCACCAATTTGTAATGTGATTGCCTTGACCGTGTTTGCCGGGACTGATATCCTTCCTCTGGTCTTGGCAAACCTGGCCAACTTGGATCCCCGACCTGGTGTGGTCGATCCGACAATATTTGTAAGAAATTCTGGCAACTGGCCAAGAATATTCATGCCCAACAGGCAAGGTATATTTGACACATTTGTCTCTAGGTTGTGTTTCGTAACGAACACCCCAACCTGCTTCAACCTATGTCCCGCCACCACGACATCCGCCAGAAAATAACCACAGTATGGAATGGTTAGTCCATTAGCTGCCGTCAGGCGCATGCATGTGTCAGACCTCAACCTATGGTCTTTTCCTTTCATCCATTTGGTGTAAAAATTTTCCGTGATTGTCGTCACCTGGGAGCCTGTATCCACAATTGCCTTCACCGCGATGTCCCCAATCGTAATCACCATTTCGGGACAGACTCCCATCATTTTGCTTCTTGGGCCATAACCTCGCCCCTCTGTAGCCTGGCCCTGCCTTACAGAGGACGACCGTTTCCCTGGCAGTACCGTGCCATATGTCCGGGTTGTGAACAGGACAAGCAAATTGGTCGACCGTCGGCCGTCCATTGGAGTGATGGCTTGGCAGGACGCGGCCGTCCAACCCGTCTCTGTTTTGTCCCGTTCTTTTCCTGATTCTCAGCTGTTGACCTGCTTTCTAACCTCTCCAAACGTTGGTCAACCTTATCTAGGTGGGCCAACAGTTGAGCCATCATGGTCTCCATCGTGTCGGCCCCTGTGGGTGGGGATTGTCTCTGTTCAGGCACAGAGACTTTGTCCACCGAACAGTTCGATTGGTCCTCATCCTCGGACCTGCGGATCGCTGAGTTCCTGACCTGAAGGAAGGTCAACTGCGGGTCTTTGTGGACCTCCTCTTTCAACTCTCTCTTTAAGATCGGGGTTGCTAGCCCCTCGATGAAATGGTCCCTCAGTAGGCGCACATCAATGTCAGGTGTTTTGCCCTTTACCGCATCAAAGGCCCTGTTCAACCGGTGTGAGTACTCCATCACACTCTCCGCCATTCTCTGCCTTAAGCCTACGAACCCTGACAGCAGTTGCGATCCCGACCGTCTCTCCCCAAAGGTCTCCATAATCAGATCCAGCACCTTATCTGGATCTGATTGGACGGTTTTATCGTGGCATTTGACCTCTGCCCTGACCGTCTCTCCTATACTGCCCATCAGCAGTCTTAATCTTTCCTCTGGTGACATGCCTCTCGAGGCCCAGGCCGCTTTGACCTCCTCACTGAACCTGTTGGTTAAAGTTGGATCACCGTCCCCGTAAAATTTGTTAATGTGGGACTCTCTGGGTAGGACCACTATATGGGTCTGCTTCTCGTCCAGAGTAGACATTTTATTCCGTAAGTAACAAAAAAAGAGTTCTTTCTTACCGTGTGTGTATGAAAAAATTTTCCTCGTTCCTCAATTTTCACAGTTCCTGAATGTCCGAATTCACACACACACTAAACACAGTTATGCACAAGGTTGACTATGGGTGCCTCAAACGGCAAGTCTAGTTGAATTCATCCTGTCCGACAACGCCAATTGTAACGAGCGAACAGTTAACTGCCGACGACGCCAATTGTAACGAGCTAACAGTTACCCTGCTCGCAACGCCACATGTTACGAGACTATTTGCCTGTAGTGCCAAATGTAACGAGTTTAACCACTCATGCTACACAACATCGACTACAGTAGAAAGACTCGAAGATGCAGGTTCGCTATTGATCCTTTTATTACATGAATCAAGAAATGCTTCAATATAACACAATGAATCAACAGGAATGCTTCACAATAATAGTCTGAATCAACTGACCCCTAACAGTCTTCACTAGGCTTCATATAACTGAATCCACATGTCTATTGTCCTTCTTAACACAATATAACCAACTTGATATGTCACACAGACTGACTGATCTAAAGCGAGCGATGAAGAGAGCGAGCGATCGAAAAGGGAAGAGCTCCGCCGTCCCCTCCTATTTATCCCTTGTATTCGTACTCGTCCTTGTACTTGTATTCATCGATATTTGTAATCGATGTCTCCGACTACTAGTTGCGCAGTTCTAACGTACAGCCCGATTAAAACATCTGCATCCTATCAATCAAAGTTGACAGGCCGTCTGAATCCCCTCGTACCGTTTCCCAAAATAGCACGCGTTGGCTTTGAGATTGTTATCAGTCCGATCCAATAAGCCACCTGCTATCGGTTGCATCAGACTGTAATACTGCGTCGCGGCTTATCGTTCGTTATCAGTTGTAACAGATTTGTAACTAGTAGCTAGGCCTACCCTAGTTACATATATATATATATATATATATATATATATATATATATATATATATATATATATATATATATATATATATGGTAAAGGATTGATTATCGAACTTGGTGTCTAGAGTTGTACAGATAGTCTCGTAAATAAACCAAGTCTAATGGATAAACTACTAAAATCAAGCCACGAGACCAGAGGCGTAGCGACCCTTCCCGTCGCCCGATGACAAACTTTCGATTTGCACCACCACACCCCCCCCCCCCTTACCCCACCCCATTAAACTTTCGATTTGCACCCCCCCCTCGAACTTTTGATTTACACCCCCCAACCCCACTCAAACTTTCAATTTGTTTTTCCAACCCATTTTGGCGCCCCCCCCCCCCCCAAGGTCGGCGCCCGGGGACATATGTCCCCCCCCCCTGCTACGCCCCTGCACGAGACACGATTTAATTTTCCAAAATAGGAGCGTGGGAGTAGTTACCTGACGTTTGAACTCTCTGACCCTCAAGGCCATTAAAGGCACCGACACCATTGATTGACACGCTGGTGAGTTTTGATTGGTCGGGATCAATAAAGTTCACGCCCTCTAGGAAGGCCACGGCTGTTTGCAGGAAACACTATTGGGAGTTTGTAAACAAATACTTCAATAGAACCAAACATTGCTCATCTTTAAAAAATATTATATAAGAAATTTAAGATTGATATAATCTAGTTCTATATATTTTAGATTAAACTCATTAGCTTCATTAGGGGTCGGCGTGGTCTATTCGGTAAAGCTCATGGCTGCTAAAATGAAAAAGTCTCGAGTTAGGGCAGATGACGCTAAATAGCTGGGGACATCAACTCCAAAATCAAACAACTGCTGCCTTGTAGTTTGTTCTTGGTTGGACAAAGGCTATGGAAGCAAATCCAAAAAGAAAAACAGGCTGAGCTCGGAGTAAACGGCCTTTAAGGCGCATAACCAGTAGGCACGTATACTTGATTGTTTTGGAGGAATTGAGGTAATCCCTTTCACCACTACAATAAAGAACGAAGAAGAAGAAGATCAGTATCATAGTTCGTACCTGCACAGACTTAAGCTGCGTCTTGTCACTGAGGGGTAGAGCGACCTTGACATGTTTCAGTGACGTGTCGGGATTCATGACGAAGTACTCAACTACACCTTTACACATGGCCAGTGCTACCTTGTGCTGGGGGTACTTAAAACCGCCCGTGCCTAGTGCCGGGAATGCAATGCTCGTGTAGTTTTTACTGGACGCCAGTTCCAAGCACTCGTATACCACTGATTTTATTGCCTGCAATTAAAGGAAATGAGCACAGTTAAAGTTTAATGAATACAATTAAAGTAAATGAATACAATGTTAATGAACACAATTAAAGTAACTGAACATAATTAAAGTAAATGAACACAATTAAAGTAAGTGAACACAATTAAAGTTTAATTGATACAATTAAAGAAAATGAACACAATGTTAATGAATACAATTAAAATAACTGAACATAATTCAAGTAGATGAACACAATTAAAGTAAACGAACATAATTAAAGTAAATGAACACAATTAAAGTAAATGAACACAATCAAAGTAAATGAACACAATTAATGTAAATGAACATACTTAAAGTAAAAGAACACAAAGTAAATCAACACATAATTATTTTCAATATAAATCGTGTTATTACAAATGTCAAATTGAGGTTGATCAAATATATGAAACAATACAGTACGTAGTTTAAAACATAAACATGCTAACTTCCCCCAATGTGTGTCTTCATTGAGTGTACATGACATTGGCTGACATGTGTTACTAGAAGTTGGATGACATGTATAACATAAGACAGATAGTTCTGGTAGTGATGATCGAGATAGGCATACATCAAGGGAGATTCATGTGTAGGGTTTTAGTCACTTGGGTACGGCTACATAGGGGGAAAGATATAGAAAGAGAGCGAAAGAGAGATGAAGATGGGGAAGGGAGATATTGCTTAAAAGAACGATAGCGACAACTTTTAAGAAACAGAGGGAGATAGACATCTTGAGGAGAAGGGAGGTAGTGATGGAGAGATGGACTAAGAGCAAAGTTGAGAGGTAAAGAGAGGTATTGAGAAAACGAGGGATTTGAAAGAGTGAGTTAGAGGTGTAGTGGGGTCGTCAATAAATGACGCCACACTCGTAGGGGGGAGGGGGGTCTGTAATTTTGTGACGGTGTGTGATGAGGGGGAGGGGTTCAGATGGTGTAACGTCACTTTTTTGCATTACAAAAGAAGCAATGTTAGAAAACGAGTTTTAGTTTTATTAAAACTGTTTTCGAAAACTATTGCAATTTTGAGGGGAGGGGGGCGGTTGGTTGTAGGCTGAGGTGTGACGTCATTTTAGGGGGGTCTGGCTTTTTGTGACGACGTGTGACGGAGTGGAAGGGGGGGGGGTAAAAATCGTCCAAAAAGCGTGACGTCATTTATGGATGGCCCCAGTGGTTGAAGGATATCCGATGAGAATAAAATAGGAACTATATCTTCCGGGTTCTTCTAAATGTGAGCTAAATAAAACAATCTGTCATTTGAAAATGGGAAAAACCCGTTTATAATAGCCGCAGAGCCCAACATAAAAAAAAACAACAACACGTAAACGAAAACTCTGGCCTGAAATGTGTACTCGTTCAAGTGTTATCTCAGCTGATAAGCGACAGACATGTTATGTCTTAGCTTGTAAAACAGTTAACTGTTAGTTGTTTGTCGTGTCTTCCACATGCCGACCTTATTTTTAGAAACAACTTCTACTTGTATGTTTGGGACGGAGTGTCCTAGTGGTAGAGACCTAGATCGCTAACCCGAAAGTCTCGAGTTCGAATCCTGAATCAAGTTAATAGATCGTTCTTGAGTCCACCCAGCTCTGATGGGGATCTAACTCACGTTAGGGAAAGGCGGCTGGGCATCGTGATGACCACACTACCCCTTCAGAAACAGTTGAACTATTCACTTGCCCCATAGACCGTCAGGTTTGGAAGGGGAACTTTACTAACTGTATATTTAACATATATTCTTAATTGAGACGCACTAAACGAGATCAATCTTAAATCCCGACTTAATGAAAACCCGTTAATGATAGGGAACGACGTGGTCGAATGATAGAGCTTACGATCGCTAACCCGAAAGTCACGTGTTCGCATCCCGGGCGCGTGTACGTAGGACGCCCCACCCAGATCAGAAACATACCTGACTAACGTTAGGGAATCCAAGGCGGCTGGACATACCCTCTGGTGAGGCGAGATCATTGCAACAGATACACTCTACTTCATCTGTCCAATGATTCATGGGCACAAACGTCTATAACCAAGTATTTACTTTAAAAAATTTTTCCGTCACTGAGCATGAAGTGGTTTGAGTGTCGGCTAATAATCGAATCATTAATCCGATGATGCGTGGTCTTGCAATATTATCCTAACAACCTGGGTCATAGGGGGAGTAAATTTTAAAAAATCCCACCTCATCGTTCCCTTCTCTCCACGCCAACAGACACACGAACAGGATGCTGCGCACACGAGTTTTAAGCTGACCTGGAGCTGTGCTGACCACTTGACCAAACCACAGCTCACCTTTCATCTGAGGATGGAAATCAAATCTATCAGAACATGTTTTAATATGTGCTGTTTGCAGTTTTTGTTAACTCGAGCAAAGACGTATCTAACCGAGGTGTATTGGACGTTTTTGTTTTAAATAACTGTACGATTTACAACCACCCTAAAACTGCATCCGTTTGACATTCTATGTTTGTTTTATTATCATTAAAAACACGTGTTCAAGAAATACAACACAATTAAAAAAGTGAATCATCAAGATGGATATTACCTGACCACAGGGGCCATAAAGGTCTCAATAAGAGAGTGACTTTAGGAAATACCTGATCACACCTGGGTAATATAGAAGTACTCACCTGGACAACATAGTACTCACCCAGTGACTTTAAGAAAGATCTGACCTCACCTGGACAACATAGTACTCACACAGATAAAGACTTAAAGAAAGATCTGAACTCACACGATTCAGTTCCTCCTGCACGCTGCTCCCAGCTTTCTGCCGCACGCGACTTGAGAGGCAGCATGACGTCATTTGTTTACTCCGATGAATGGAGCTGACTATAGCATCCACCTTATGTGACATAAGACAAACAGTCATATGAAACCCTGTTGTGATGTGTCACGGTTTGTAGACCTTTAACTAAACATTAGCACATGCCATATTTCCCTTTCTAACTACCCAAGTGTATGTTTAAAATAAATCTTTATTTTAGACGCATTAAGCGAGAACAATCTTTCATGCCGATGATGAAAGCTCTTAGCCATATCTATACAGAGGACTACTTGGTCGAACGATAGAACTTAGAATGTTAACTTGAAAGTCACGAGTTCAGACCCACGAGTCCACCCAGTTCTGATGGGTACCTGACTAATGTTAGGGAAACTAAGGCGGGTGGGTATTGTGCTGACCCCTATCCCCTCGTATGACCCCCCCCCCCCCCCGAACGAAGAGATGCATGGAAGAAACACTGCACTTGTGCCTCCGGCACTCAAGGAAAAGATCTCTCTAAAAAAACAGCTGTTTGAATTATTATAATTGTTTACAAATAATTGCCGAACTGTTTATTCTCTAATAGAATCTACAAACCTTCAGGTCGGTGATATCTTCATTAACAAACTCCAATTTGTAGTTTTTCGTATGTAACCCAGTCATTTCCTACCTAAATCATTGAAAAAAGGTGATCGAAATAATATATACAGGCCTTTTTGAAAGACCGAAACTTAAGTCAAAATGAAGAAATTGACTATTTTACGAAAAAAAAACAACACATGAATTAACACCAACACAACAGACTAATAATACCCTTTATAATGAGTTAGTGCTCCTCACGTTATTTTAAAAGTTATTCTTGAATTTTAACTTTACCTTATTTGTAATAAGTCGATCACTTTCACCGTGGTTGTGCTAATATCGACACTGCTAACAACACAATCAAAACAAAACGTCGACACGTCAACTATTGCCACAGTCAAGATTGAACTGCTTCTGAAATAACGGCTAAGCCTTTTCCTAAACGGAAATTTCCGATTAAGTTTTGTTTTCAAATTAGAACACTGAAAGTGGAGATAACAGATAACACGCAATGCGCTGACGTAAGGTTACTAAGTATAGCTGTGACGTCTAAATATTCTAGACATTCAGGCCATATAAACGTTGATAAACACACACACACACACACACACACACACGCAGGTACACACACACACACACAAACAGAGGCCAGGTTTTCATTCAGGCAATTTAGGGGGGGGGGGGGGGTGGGGGGGGGTGGAGGGCGAAAGAATGACTTAAACTTTCTGGGTGGGTGGGGGACTAAGCGATTAAATGGTCTAATTTTATTCTTTCTGTTTTTATTTGACATGTTTCCAATGTTGCATTTGGTGGTGTAATTTAATTGAAGGTTTTAATTATGTAAATAATATATTTTGTGATTTTAGGAATGTTTGGGTCCCATGCGAAAAACTATAACATGGAGATTCTTTTTCTCCTTCGCTCTTAATTCTAGTGAAGGAAGGAATTCGCTTCAATACAATTAAGTATTACGTGTCATTGTTTATGGTAAGAGGACTAAGATGCTTCGTGGCCTGATCCACGGGTCTGGTGGCCTGACCCACGGGTCTGGTGGCCTGACCCACGGGTCTGGCGGGATGATCCACGGGTCTGGTGGCCTGACCCACGGGTCTGGTGTCCTGACCCACGGGTCTGGTGTCCTGACCCACGGGTCTGGCGGGATGACCCACGGGTCTGGCGGGATGACCCACGGGTCTGGCGGGATGACCCACGGGTCTGGTGTCCTGACCCACGGGTCTGGTGGCCTGACCCACGGGTCTGGCGGGATGACCCATTGGTCTGGCGGGATGACCCACGGGTCTGGCGGGATGACCCACGGGTCTGGTGTCCTGACCCACGGGTCTGGTGGCCTGACCCACGGGTCTGGCGGGATGACCCATTGGTCTGGCGGGATGACCCACGGGTCTGGCGGGATGACCCACGGGTCTGGCGGTCTGACCCACGGGTCTGGTGTCCTGACCCACGGGTCTGGCGGGATGACCCACGGGTCTGGTGTCCTGACCCACGGGTCTGGTGGCCTGACCCACGGGTCTGGCGGGATGACCCATTAGTCTGGCGGGATGGCCCACGGGTCTGGCGGGATGACCCACGGGTCTGGCGGGATGACCCACGGGTCTGGTGTCCTGACCCACGGGTCTGGTATCCTGACCCACGGGTCTGGCGGGATGACCCACGGGTCTGGCGGTCTGACCCACGGGTCTGGCGGGATGAACCACGGGTCTGGTGGTCTGACCCGCGGGTCTGGCGGGATGACCCACGGGTCTGGTGGTCTGACCCGCGGGTCTGGCGGGATGACCCATTGGTCTGGCGGGATGACCCACGAGTCTGGCGGGATGACCCACGGGTCTGGCGGGATGACCCACGGGTCTGGCGGGATGGCCCACGGGTCTGGCGGGATGACCCACGGGTCTGGTGTCCTGACCCACGGGTCTGGCGGGATGACCCACGGGTCTGGCGGGATGACCCATTGGTCTGGCGGGATGGCCCACGGGTCTGGCGGGATGGCCCACGGGTCTGGCGGGATGACCCACGGGTCTGGTGTCCTGACCCACGGGTCTGGCGGGATGACCCACGGGTCTGGCGGGATGACCCATTGGTCTGGCGGGATGGCCCACGGGTCTGGCGGGATGGCCCACGGGTCTGGCGGGATGACCCACGGGTCTGGTGGGATGACCCACGGGTCTGGTGGGATGATGGGTCTAGAGACTCACCAATAAAGTTTGGTTCTCTAGTGTGTATTGATTGAGACGCTGAAACTGCGTACGAGAGAGAAAGAGGAAGAGAGAGAGAAAGAAAGGGAGAGAAAAGGAGAGAGATAGGGAGGGAGAGAGGGAGGGAGAGAGGGAGGGAGAGAGGGAGGGAGAGAAAGAGATATGGCTTATAAAAAAGTGCGAAAGAAACGGAGAAGGTGAGAGAGAGAGAGATAGAGAGAGAGAGAGAGAGAGAGAGAGAGAGAGAGAGAGAAGGAATAAGAGAATAAAGTTCAAATCAACTTTTCTTCTACAACCTTCTATTTTGTGACGTACTAACTGCACGTAAGGGTTAAACACACATTTAAGTAACTAAATTATGAGTCAAGCCCAATAATGTATCGTATAATAGGGGACTGCATTAAGTTAAGATTAGTCCACATAACATTTTAGTTAGTAGATCCGACAGCAGTATGTTTATCCAACCTTTTATGCACGTTAAAATAAGTTCGTTGAACATGCTTACAATTTCAAAATAATTTTTAAATAGTGTATTTTGTTCTCTCCCCTTCTTGAGGATGATACTAGCCTTTGTGAAGTATACAGAAGCAATGGAAATCTAAATAGAGCAAGATGTAGTTTGAGAGAGAGAGGGAGTAAGGAGAGAAAGAGGAAAGAGTGAGAAGAGAGAAAGAGAGAGACGAAGAACAAAAATAGGCATTGCTTATTGCTTTCACCTAGTTGAAATAAGCCTTGTTTATTTATAGCACACGTTAGATGCAGAGAGCAGATGTTCATCTAGTTGGATCAATTGTTGGTTGGGCGTACAAAACTTGTGGGGTCTGCCAGTGATTTTTTTTAATCACTAGAACTCGAGTACCAGCAAAGGTAAGACGTTTTAAAAATGATCTTTACACTACTCGTGTTGATCGTTGTTTGTTTATGTCACAATTTGGCAGGGGCGTAGTCAGGTTTCCGGGTTTGGTAAAACGGCAGATTCACATAAAAAAAAAACAACTCTAATTTTACTTTTATCATTTGTGATTCGTCATGAAAACATGAGCTTAGTTTCTACAACTGGTATGCGTTCTTCAAATATTTTACTTTTATCTTATAATGACAAGATTTGTTGCTTTCAAACTTACTGCATTGCAACACTGGTAATAGGCTTGGAAAGGTGGTTTCAAAATCGTTGTTGCCAGAAAGCATATCTTTTCAACCAAAGTTGAATATTTTTTGTGAAATGCTTACAAAATGACTCACGGTTTTATTAAGGCTAGAAATATTTAACAAATAATTACTATTAATAAAATAGTAATTTAGCTAACATTTTTACTTTCTCGTATATACGAAGTATAGAGAAAGTATTGTAATCGTGCACAAAAATAACATGACATTTTGACAGTTTTCACCGTTTTACTCCTCAGTCCTTCATCACATCCGGAGTATAGAGGACTTATTTTAATCAGGCAAAAATTATAAATACAAATATATAAACTTTTGGCGTTTTATGCGTTATCGAGTCGTAAAAACTGGACTTTGCAATTCTGTCCGTATGTCTGTGTGTCTCTGTGTCTGTGTGTCTGTCTGTGTGTAAACACGATAACTTGAGTACCGTTACAGATAGGTTGATGACATTTCATATATAAGTATTTTATCAAAATCGTAGATCCTGATCAATTTTTGAGCGATTTCCGATAACCGGAAGTGGTACTTTTTCTACTTTGAATTTTTCAAAAGCCTATAAGATGCGTACTATTTTAGATAGAAGTATGAAATTTCACACGTAAGTAAAAGATCTAATTTTCTACCTTCTGTCAAATTTTGAGTAATATTCCGCACTTTTATACACATTTTATTAGGCGTTCACTTGGTGAGGGACGGAGTGGTCTAGCGGTAGAGAGCTGGACTGCTAACCCGTTAGTCTCGAGTTCGAATCCGAGTTCAAGTCAGTAGACCGTCCACCCAACTCTGATGGTTACCTAACTTCCTGTTAAGGAAAGTAAAGGCAGCTGGGCATAGTGCTGACCACACTATCTCTTCATATGCCGAGGTCACGGAAACCGTCAGGTTTGAAAGGGAAACTTTTCACTTGGTGTGCAATTCTTTTTTTTTACGAGATTCTATTCTATTATAAAAAGTTTAAGTAATTAAAAATGGATAACAAATATTATCTATGTCCTGAGTTACCATCCCTCGTAATTTTATATTAGAATATTCGAGAAAGTTTAATTTGGATTCGTAGAGTTCAGGGTGTTATCTATATATATAATTCTCTTCTGGGAGACGCTAGAAAACAAGCTGTAAACGCGCTCCCTACCACCCCCAACCCTACATGGTCTTAGTGAGCTGTGGTTCACTCTAAATGTTTACAAACAGAGCCAGGTTTAGTGACGACTATTAGGGGCAGATAATTTAGTTTGAAACGATTTTAAACGTAGGGGGGAGGGGGGGGGGGACGACGGAAGGGGGGGGGGGAAGGTTATGGTCCATAATGTGCTACTTATAGTGTTTTAAAGAAATATTTTCAGTGGCAGCGTTGGTACCGTCGAATTCACAAATTATGAATTACTGAAAAGTAGAAAAAAAAAACAACTAAATAGCGGCGTATGTTATGCCGCGGGCCGGCTCGTATTATTTAATACAAGCCGACCGGCGGTGTAGCATACGCCGCTATTTAGTTGTTTTATTACAAGCTTTTATTTAACTCACTTCCTCTGTCTGTCGTCAGTCTAGACGGAAACGCAGGAGTGAAAATTCGGACAGTTCTACTTGACAGATACGATTCACAGTTGGCACGTGGGTCAAGACATGAAGACAATGCAATCTGAAACTAAATTTGACTTAATTGGATGCCTAATTATTTTTTTATGAATTAATAAAAATTTGGACCGAATAAGTAGGCACGTCTAGGCAACCACACCACACGCGTCATCACCTTCAATAGCTTCAATGGCTGCGTTCAAAAACCATTGCGCGCCTACTGAACGTGATGTTCAGTAGGCGCGCAATGGTTTTTAGTCATGTAACTCTATTGTAAATAAAACATGTAAAGTACTGAAAAAAAAATTCATAAAAAACATTTTAATAACAAGCTTTTATGTGATGATGCACTAAAAAGTAGAAAATAAATTATAGACTACTATTTAAGTAACTATAAAGAAAAGCGTGGGTCTCTTCTCAAATATTAGTAAAGGTATCCAATAGGTACTAAAGTGACCCACGCTTTTCTTTATAGTTATTTAAATAGTAGTCTATAATTTATTTTCTACTTTTTAGTGCATCATCACATAAAAGCTTGTTATTAAAACGTTTTTTATGAATTTTTTTCAATACTTTTCATATTTCATAATTTGTGGATTTGACACTACCAATGCTGCGACTGAAAGTGTTTTCTTTAAAACACTATCAGTAGTTCGCGAAGGACGATTATTCATTTATTGTCACCCTCCCTCCAACTTTTCTAATTACGTGTTCGTTGTTCCAACTTTTCTAATTACGTGTTCGTTGTTCCAACTTTTCTAATTACGTGTTCGTTGTTCCAACTTTTCTAATTACGTGTTCGTTGTTCCAACTCTTCTAACTACGTGTTCGTTGTTCCAACTCTTCTAATGACTTGAACGTCGTTGTTCCAACTCACCTAATTACGTGAACGTTGTTACAACGCCTCTAATTACGTGAACGTTGTTACAACGCCTCTAATTACGTGAACGTTGTTACAACGCCTCTAATTACGTGAACGTTGTTCCAATTCTTCTAATTACGTGTTCGTTGTTCCAACGCCTCTAATTAATTATACAACCCGCATGCAGTCCGATTATCCCAAGGTTACTAATTATTCACTTCTCTGTATGTTTCATTTACATTTCGTTACAAGCTTCAACAGCTGTTATGCGGACAACGATACTACAACACGCAGCAGTAGTTAGCTTAGTCTTCATTATCATAATTAGCCTTTTTCTAGACAATTTAAATTAAGTCGTCCTCATAATTAGCCATTTTCTAGACAACTTAAATTAAGGCATCCTCGCTCTCATTGAAAGTCACAGGTAAAATGTGCCATGAAACATTTGCTGTATGAAAATTGCGACCTTGTGTAATACTTACTTGTAGGACGGAGTGGTCTAGCGGTAGAGAGATGGACTGCTTACCCGAAAGTATCGAATTCGAATCCGGGTTCAAGTCAGTAGACCGTCTCTGAGTCCACCTAACTTTGATGGGTACCTAACTCAAGTTAGGGAAAGTAAATTAGGCTGGGCATAGTGCTGACCACACTATCTCTTCATATGCCGAGTGAACTTTACTTCGCTTGCCTTATAGATCGTCAGGTTTGAAAGGGAATTTTAAAAAAAATTACTAGAACTTGCGTAATAAATATATAGAAACAATATTACATTTATATTTATAGTTATGTAAACTAAAATAATGTATAAAGCATGAACTTCGGAATAAAATTTACATACAAATGCTTAACTCACTAGCAGGATTTACTCTGCGCTGTTCTGGCGATTAAATACAATTTTCAATAAATGTCTTGTGCTTAATGTAAAAATGGTCAAATATATGACAGTATTAGTACAGAAACTATTTATTAAAGCGATTGTTGTCGATTTGGTATGCCATAAAACCAATGTGACGAAATCTCAGAATGAGCGAATTTTAGCGAAAGCTAGTTTATGTATAATATCTCCAAAAACTCACTTAGACTTAGCACCAACATATACTATATGTCAGTGGCGTAGCGAGGTCGGGTGTTACCCGGTGCGGCACTTAATGGTGTCATCCCCCCCCAGAGGCATAGCGACCCTTCCCGGGGACAAACTTTCAAGTTTTCGATTTGCACCCCCCCCCTTCAAACTTTCGATTTGCACCCCCCCATCAAGTTTTTCTCTATATATTTTGCTATTTTTTACCTTGGTGTCACCCCCCTAAATGGTGTCACCAGGTGCGGTCCGCACCCCCAGCCCCCCCCCTCGCTACGCCCCTGCTAAATGTTTTAAAAGTTTTTGGCCATCATTAACATCTCT